CGAATAATACTAAACATGAAGGGAACATTGCGCATCTCTTCGACTTCAGCAGGGGTCTGGGGACCCATGTCCTTCGTCAGGGGCTGTCCAACGGGTAGAGGAGTGTCCACCTTGTTGCAGGCGTCCATGTTGAAGCGCTTGAGCATGTCGACAATGTACTGGCGCTGGGACAGGCTGATCGAGCGATTGGCGCGGTCCCTAGAGATCTCAATAGCAAGCAGGAAGCGAGTCTCACCAAGATCTAGCTTGAAGTGCTTGCTGAGCTCTGCTCAACGGATGCAGTGGACTTGGCGAAGATGGCGTCAATGCAGTGACGATGGTCATATGATTGAAACCCTTGACCCGGGTCTCATATGACCCCCCATCGTCACTGGGTGCGGAACTATGTCCCCTGTCGCATTCCAGAGTCGGCAGACCACAGCATTGTGTATGCTGTTGGTATGGGCACAACAGTCTTTGAGCCTGTTGTAGATGGGAGGGCCTGTTATCACGAGTTTTGCATGTACCAGAGCTTCGGAGCAATCTGCTGTCTTGTTTGTACCTTACCCGGGTCAAGGGGTTTCAATATACTCATTTCTTCTTCGCAACTTCGCTTCATTCGTGCTGGTTCATGTCTATTCACCGCCTCCATCCATCCCAACAACTCTGCAACGCTCGATGGCACCACTGCAGCCTCTGTGGAAGCAGCCTCTGTCGCTTCCACTGTTCCTGTCACCCTTGAACTGCTCCATCGTCGTCTCATTCACCACAACCACGCTGATATCAAGCGTTTGCTGGACAACAAGATGGCGACTGGCATCCCTACAGTCTCTACAGCGAAGCCTGACCCGGTCTGCGAGCCCTGCATCGATGGCAAGTTACAGTCTGGCTCCCCGCGCATCCGCTCCGCTCGATCTCGTCCATTCTGACTTGCACGGCCCCAAGGAGGTCCCTACTCGCGAGGGATATCGCTACTGGATCACCTTCATCGACGACTGCACTCGTTTCCGCGTTGCTGTGCCTCTCAGCGCAAGAGCGACGCTTTCGACGCATTCCGGAGATACAAGGCATGGGCAGAGACCCAGTTGGGCGCAAAGATCAAGTGTTTGCATGACGACAAGGGCGGGGAGTACATGTCCAACGCATTTCGCAAGTTTACGGACGACTGCGGCATCGAGCGACGCCATACGACGCGCAACAGGCCCCAGCAGAACGGAGATGCAGAGCGAGCGAACAGGACGATGAACGAGGACATCAAGGCCATGCTTTCCGAGTCCAAGCTGCCTCCTTCGTTTTGGGGTGAGGCCCTGGCGACTCAGATCAAGATCTGGAACTGCCTGCCCACTGCTTCACTTCCTGGCATGACGCCTTACGAGGCCTGGTACAAGCGCAAGCCAGATCTCAGCATGATCAGGGTGTTTGGGTGCACGGCCTATGTGTTTGTGCAGAAGGACCAGCGCAAATCGCTCCAGCCGCACGCGCAAAAGTGCATCTTTGTGGGTTATCCGCCTGGCTACAAGGGCTGGCGCTTCTACAACCCCACCACCAAGAAGTTCGTCATCTCAGAACGAGCCATCTTCGACGAGCGCTACTTCCCTGGCCTGTCCAGAGCCTCCCCATCGACATCCACTGCTGTACCGCCGCCTGCTGTTCCTCCCTCACCTCCGCCTGTGGTGCGAGTTCCTCTCCCCCTCGGTGATCCGGAACTGGGGGAGTGCGCTCCACCAGTGGCCCCTGCTCCTCCTGTGCCTGAACACGCCCCTGTTCCTGCTCCTGAGACCCCTCCTCAAACGCCGCCTCCTCCACCTCAGGCGCCACTCCCTGAACCAACTCCGCCGCCTCCTACGCCTCCCCTCGCTCAGCGTCGTGCACCACGCATCCGACGTCCCCCAGGCGAGTGGTGGAAGGTCAGAGAGCCCACACCGGCCATTCCGAGCGACGACGAAGAGGATGATGAAGACGAGGCTGCTGGATGGGTCACAATTGAGTTTGCAGGTCTTGTCTCAGGCGATCCGCGCAATTGGGTGCATGCTATGAGCGGTCCCAATGCAGACAAGTGGCGGAAGGCAGCCATCGAGGAGATACAGCATCTCCTCTGCGTTCACCTACGGCGATCTGGATGAGGACATCTACATGGCTCAGCCAGAGGGCTTCAACTTCGGTGCCGGCAAGGTTCTCAAGCTCAACAAGTCGCTCTATGGCCTCAAGCAAGCTGCGAGGCAATGGAACAAGAAGCTCCACACCGTCCTGGGCTCCATGGGCTTCAAGCGCCTCGAATCCGACCGATCCCTCTACCTCTACGCCCGAGATGACGTCAAGATCATCGTTCCGGTGTACATTGACGACATCACCTTTGCCTCCAAGTCCACTGCATCCGTTGACAAGGTCGTTGCAGAGCTCAGCAAGCACTTCAAGCTGCGAGATCTTGGTGAGACTCGCTTCCTGCTTGGTATTGAGATCTCTAGGGACCGCGCAACTCGCTCGATCAGTCTCTCACAGCGCCAGTACATCGTCGACATGCTCAAGCGCTTCAATATGGACGCCTGCAACAAGGTGGACACTCCTCTACCCGTTGGACAGCCTCTGACGAAGGCCATGGGTCCCCAGACCCCTGCTGAAGTCGAAGAGATGCGCAATGTTCCCTACCTCGCTGCCGTCGGTTCCCTGCAGTACCTCGCCACCATGACTCGCCCAGACATCGCCCACGCCGTCAGCTACCTTGCCCGGTTCAACTCGAACCCAGGCCTCAAGCATTGGGCTGCTGTGAAGCATCTGTTCCGCTTCCTTCAGGGCACCAAGGACTACAAGCTGCGCTACTCAGGCCCTCTTCTCCCTGGCATCTTCACGGCCTACTCCGACGCATCTCATGGCGACTGCAAGGATACCGGACGCTCCAGTGGTGGGTATGTGACTGTGGTTGGTGGTGGTGCTATCAGCTGGGCTGCTAAGCTCCAGCCTGTTGTTTCGCTCTCCACATGTGAAGCGGAGTACATTCAGACTGTGTGAAGCTGGTAAGGAGATTCTCTGGCTTCGCCACCTTCTGGGGGAGCTTGGCTACCCCATCACCACTCCCACTCGCCTCCTGATCGACAACGCCAGCGCTGTGACAGTCAGCAAGAACCCAGAGCACCATGGACGCATGAAGCACCTCGACTTGAAGTTCTTCTTGGTGTCATTGCCCCAGTTCGCATTCCTGGCACAGAACAGGCTGCGGACATCCTGACCAAAGCCCTGCCTGTGCCCAAGGTCAAGGACTGCTGCGCCCTACTTGGTCTGGTGGATTCCTGAACTGCCTCAGTCATGGGGGAGTGTTAGAATTCGTGACTTTGGCACTTCCACTTGGTCGATTCCTTTCGTATTTGGTATCATTCGAACCGTCTTTTCACGCTCTTTCGAACGGTACCCGAGGGACGGAAATCCGTCCAACGGTTACCGAGATATTACCCTTTTACTTCGTTTTGCTAATAACCCCGAAGCCAAGCCTCGTATCGCTTGGCTTCAACCTTGCATGTGTTTACGGATGTACGGAGGCCCGTCCCCGGCGTTTTACCGACCCAAAATGTCTTATATAGTCGCAGCACCACTCTGGAGTCCCCCAGTGCTTTCCCCTCACTGTTGGACTTCAGGTATGTGCTCCCTTTGAATATACTAGTGCTTTCCCCTCACTGTTGGACTTCAGTTCGCTGTTTTAACACATACATCACTCCATGTTGCCAGAGGCCTGTCCTGTCCCATATCTTATCCATCTATCTGACTTCCGTTCAGTAGGCGAATACCTGACATGATCAGCTCTCTATATATAGTGCCAGCAATCTATCACCTTAACCGGTGATAGCGGCCTTTTTGGCTCAGCTGGTTTATCGCGAGTTGCTGGCGCAGTTTCTATCACATGTGCACGGAAATGCAGCCACATACAAATCATGTCAGGTGTAAAGGTTGAGACCTTGGTGTCCCAAATTCTCCCAACAGAACCCAAGACCAAAAGGCCTCCGAACCAGTAAAATAAAGTCATATACTTGAATTATAGTAAATAAGCTGACAGAAATTTAGCATTGCACATATTAGAAAAGGAATTGGGATTTCTCACAGGTACTTGTACTCACGGATACTGGTTTTTGCAGGTTTTCCCAGGATAAACATGCGAGTACGACACTCGTACTCGTGCTCAGCCTTAGCACATTGGCAATATGGCAGATTGAAATTAACGGAAAGTGCCATCAAGCTATCACATTTGCCAGGACACAAGATGATCCTATCGGATGCATCCTTTCTCTTCGTGTCCTTTACATGTCACATGACTCTTCTTTTCACTCATATAACCTCTTTCTTTATCTCGTGACTATTCCTATTGATCCTTCTCACTACTGCGGTGCAGCCACTCTTTATTGTTCTCTGACTTCTCTCTGCTGTGCCCCGCAGTAACCTGTGCTCGTGCAGCCTTCTTTGTTGACTCCTGACCCTCATTCACATAGCTACATACCCACTTCTACTCTTTCCTCAGACTCGCTCTAGTCGTCTCAAGACAATACCTCTTGTGAGGCATTCTTAGATGCCTATCTCCTCGAACTTGTCTCAAGAACCACGACTCTACGGTTGACGTGTATGCTCACTCAAGTTCACATCCCCCGTAACAGATGTGGCAGAAAAATGGGGATGACGTGGCCTTTGGTTTCTCAGGAATTCGCAAAACAACTGCTGGCAGTGTACAGTTGACTGTTCAGGTGGCTAGAGGGAAATGGGGCTCATAGCATACTCAAAATGTGTCACATGCAAGGTTCAAGCCAAGTGATCTGGGGCTTGGCTTTGGAGATATTAGTGAAATGAAGTAAACATCAATATCTCGGTAACCAGTGGATGGATTTGACCCATCCCTTTCGGCTTTGGTCCTCCTGGCTCTCCCCCTCGCACACCTTCTGGTGATCCGCCTGATCTGAGTGGAGGTGGTGGTGGATGTCTCCAAGGTGGCGACTCTGGTGGTCCCCCGCCATCTGGTAGCGGTGGTGGTGACCCTCCTCCTAACCATGGTAGTGGTGGTGGACCTGGTGACCCATCTGGCGATCTGCCTGGCGGAGACGCTCAAGACAATCCCTAAGGCTTCCAACCTGTCCTTCATCACATTCTCGAGCAGCTCGTTGAGGGTCAGCAGTCTAATGCTCATACCCTTGCGAAGGCTCTCGAGAAACTCGAGTCTCAGGCCTCCAGTACCTCTAGGCTTCATGCTCCCAATCCTTTCGATGGCTCAGATCCCGAACTCCTAGACACCTTCATTGCTCAGCTTACAGTTTATCTCAGTTGCTACACACACATTTTCAAGCACCCAAGAGATGCTGTGGCTACTGCCCTTTCCTACCTCAAGGGCAAGGTGTACACTTACTAGTATATGGGCCAATGCATATGCATGGCAGTGACTCGGCTTAAATAAGGGCCAGGCTCTGCCAGAAATACTATACCTTGAGCCTTTTAGAAAATGTATACATACAATCAATGATTATCTTCCAGCCCTCTGAAGTACTTTAAGATCAAGATCAGTTGTTTTATTTTCACCTCTTCTTGCCATACCGTTGTGATACCAGTAATCAGATCCTGATGGATCGATCCACAAAGTGAAATTATAAATCATTATTGGTGTCTTATAATACCAGTAATTAGCTTCAAATAAACCATACACACAAGGCTGGGTACAGATGGGTATACCAGCAAGTACATCCATGGGAAATCTGTCTGTACCCATACCTGCGGACTGTCAGGGTCGGATACAGAGAGAGAGGAGAGAAGGACGTAGGAGGGCGGAGGGTAGCCTTGGTCTCACGTTATAAGAACGTGTACCCTTCGTCACGGCTCCAAAGGCTGGCTAGGCCGAAGGACCAGACGGAAACACCTTCCGGCGGAGAGACGAGAGTGAAGGACGACTGGAGCTAAGGCTCGACGGTCGAAGACGATGAGGGAGAGAGTTTTACTGAGGAACTTAGACTGAGAGATTCGAAGCGTATGAACCTAGTCGCGATTCCGGATGAGGTACCTACTACAAATTGAGATAGTACTTATAGTAATTACCGGCGGGGAATCTACGGGCGAAATCGAGACGAAATGACGAAGTCCAAGAGAGAAAGAATAAGTCGAGAACCAGAACAAGAAAGACGAAATCGTACACAAGAAAATCTAGAGTACTCGAGAACGACTACAACGACCAATCGTAACACCGGCGGATAAAATCCAAACAAGAACGTTCGTACGAAAAGGTCATCTGAGCAAACTGGAAATCCAGTGTAAAGAAATAGAAGCAAGGAAAATAACGACACGGTGGAATAAGAAATAGAAGAATAACAGAACATAGAGACATACTTCGAATACACAATACGAAACCCGTTTGACAGCTTGCCAAGCGCGCGTCTAAAGTCCACAGGATTATCCGGCGGATCCGAGAGTTCCGGCACAGCCGCGAGGCCGCGCGCGCGCGCCAGTCGTGACCTTTCCCACGCTCCGCGGACGTCGCGCGTCAAAGTCGAGAGGGGACCCGGCGGGCTGGAATGAAGTGGGTATAACGGATAGAATGTATAAGAGAAAATACGAATACATAATATCGAATGGTGTTGAGGGTGAAGGAAGGGTGTAGTTGTACGTATCGAGACCCGGCGGTTGCACGAGCCCTGACAGTACCCCCCTGTTACGGCTGAGCCCTCGAAGCCAAACGATGAGGTGAAAGGGAAGTTGCGACTTGAAAATTATGGAGAAATTGAAGCATAGAAAAATGAGAAATAGTGAAGGAGGTCAAACAGAAAAAAAGAGAGAGAGGCAGGCCGGGGAGACGAGGCTGAAGAGGAACGAGTATCACCAATCGGGGCCAGGGTTTATCGGGATAGCGACGATGGAAGTCCTGGACCAACTCCTGAGCATGGGCTAGCTCGGTAGCAAGCAGCCAAGAACGCTCTTCATCCGTGTTCTCGTAGCCCAACCAGCGCACTTCATAGAGCAGTTTGCAGGTACGGCGGCGACGATCCACTTTCGAGTCGAGAATTTCGGCTATCTTGTACTCCAATTCGCCATCCACTTCCACCGGCGGGGGAGGGGGATCATGACGAAGAGGAATTTTAGACTCGTGGTGTGGCTCGAGCATGGAGACGTGGAAAACAGGATGGACGGAACGCATGGAATCAGGGAGTCGAAGGGTGAAGGAGTGGGTGCCAACCTGAGCGATAATCTCGTATGGACCAAGATACCGTTCAGACAACTTCTTGGTAGGACGAGTGATGCGGAAGAAGGCAGCTTTGACGAAGACGCGATCGCCAACCTTGAAGTCCGGCGGAGGTAGACGCTTGCGATCAGCGTAGTGCTGATAGGACTTCTGGGCGATAGCGATGGATTCCCGGAGGTGTTCGTGCAACGAGGCGAGATCGACGGCGAATTCTTGTGCGGCAGAGCTGGCGAGGTCGCGCTCAGGGTGGATGTTGAGAGCTGGATGATAACCCTTGTTCGCGAAGAAGGGGGAGACGCCAGTAGTAGCCGACGGTGCGTTGTTATACGCGAATTCTGTGAGGGGAAGAAGTCGATGCCAATCGTCCTGCTGGTAAGAACAGTAAGCCCGAAGGTACTGTTCCAGGGTCTGGTTCACCCGTTCAGTCTGTCCGTCGCCTTCAGGATGGTATCCTGACGTGAAGTGAAGCTTCATGTCCAAGGCCTCACCCAATGCACGGAAAAAATGCGAAACGAACTCTGAACCTCGATCAGAAGTTACGTTTGAGGGTACGCCGTGCTTGGAGAAGACATGGATAACGGAGAGGCGAGCAAGCTCGGCGGACGTGAGGTGAGAGTCCGTCGGAATGAAAATGGCTTGCTTGGACAGGCGGTCGACGATGACGAGGATGTCGGTGAACCCACCAGAGGAGGGGAGTTGCTCGATGAGGTCCATGGAGATGGACTCCCAAGGGCGAAGGGGAATGGGAAGCTGCTTCAGGAGACCGTAGGGCTTGTGACGAGGAGTCTTCGTACGGCGGCAAGTCGTGCATGAGTTGACGTAGTCTGTGACGAACGAACGCAGTTTGGGCCAAACATAATCACGGGCGGACCAGTTCGATCGTTTTGTTACGACCAAAGTGACCAGCAAGGGGGTGATCGTGCTTGAGCTGCAGGACTCGAAGACGAAAGGCCAGGACTGTCTGGAACGTAGATACGCCCATCAAGTCGAAGAAGACCGTCGGATGGAAGCTCCCAACGAGGGTCTGAAGGAATAGGAAGCTGTGAAGAGGCGAGGGTGTCCGAAGAATAAGAAGCCTTGATGTCTGCATGAAGACCGGCGGAATCGACCACGAACGAGGCTCGAAGGGCTGGGGTATAGACTGAGGTAGCCCTCAATGACGAAGCCAGTTGTTCAGACGCGAAGATTGGACGGAAGTTGACTGGATTAACGCTGGGTGAAGTCACTACCCCCCTGTTTAAGGTAGACGTCCCACCGTCGTGTTAGCGCATCAGGCTTAGTGCCCAATTTGCCAGGACGAAAACGAACGATGAGGTTAAACTGGGAGAGGTATTCAGACCAACGCGCCTGCCGGCGGGTAAGAACTTTGGTAGTGGAGAAATACTCCAAGTTCTTGTGGTCTGTGACGACGTTGACCGGGTCGCCTGCACCTTCCAAGTAATGACGCCAGACTTTGAACACCTCGAAGATGGCGAGGAGCTCTTTGTCGTGGACATCATAGTTGAGTTCGGCAGCTTGGAATGTGCGAGAGTGGAAAGCGACAGGGTGTACTTCTCCCGACTCGAGCTGAATCGAGAGAATGGCGGCCAAAGCGTGAATTCGGATGCGTCTGTTTCAACGATGAGCGGTCGATCGGGTTGCCAATGAACGAGAATGGGAGCGGAAATAAAGGCGGACTTGAGGGTCTCGAAGGATTTTCGAGCGGCGGCGGAGAACTTGAAGGGAACGTCCTTGCGAGTGAGGCACGTAAGGGGAACGACGATGTCCGAGTAGCCATGGATGAACCGGCGGTAGAAGTTCGCGAACCCAAGGAAAGACTGGATGTCCTTCACTGAACGGGGTTCGGGCCAGTCCTGGATGACTTGGACCTTCTCAGACGACATGGTGAGCCCGTCGGGGGACAGAATGTACCCGAGGTACTCAACGCGATCGGCATGGAATTCGCACTTCTTTGGAGAAGCGAAAAGACCGTGTTTGCGAAGTCGACGGAGTACCTCCTTGACGTGCTGACGATGCTGAGTGATATCGTCCGAGACTACTAGGATGTCGTCGAGGTAGACAATGACTGAGACGTCCGTCATGTCTGCGAAGATGTCGTTCATGAAGCGCTGGAAAGCCGACGGTGCGTTAGTGAGGCCAAAAGGCATCACCAACCACTCGAAAGACCCATAACGAGTACGAAAAGCTGTCTTCCACTCATCCCCATAACGAGTACGAAAAGCTGTCTTCCACTCATCCCCATCCGCGATGCGCACAAGGTGGTACGCGTGCTTGAGGTCGATCTTGGAGTAGATCTTAGCACGCGCCGGGGCCGCAAGAAGGTCCGAAATGAGAGGTAACGGATAGCGATCCTTCTTTGAGATGCGGTTGAGAGCCCGATAATCCACACAGAGGCGAAGGGAACCATCCTTCTTCTTGACGAAGAGAATGGGTGCACCAAGCGGGGAGTTCGACAAGCGAATGAAACCTGCACGCAAATTCTCGTCCAAGAACTCGCGTAGCGCTGTGGTTTCCGCCGGGGAGAGGGAGTAAAGCCGACTCGGAGGAAGGGGCTGTGACTCATCCAGATCAATGCGCAGATCATAGGGGCGATGTGGCGCAAGCGAATAAGCCTTCGCGTTACTGAAGACGTCGGCGAATTCGTGATACTCTTCTGGAACGTTGGAGAGATCTGGAGTGTTGTCGCGGCTGGTTGAAGCAGCACAAGCCCGAGAGACGTTGTCCGATGAAGAAATGGAAAGTGAAAAGGCCTGCGAACCACTCATGCGAACAGCCCGGCAGTAAGCAGAGGCGTTCACAAAAGCGATTGGCACAGGGTTAGAAGTAAAAGAAGAGGAAGAAGGAGAGGGGATCGACGACGACGAGTCTTGAGGTGGATCTTGAGGTAAGGGAACAATCGGTTCCCGCGGGGATAAATTGTTGGAGTCGAGTGAGTCGAAGTCGATAGGGAGAGAGGGAACGAGAGGACAGGTCGATGAAGGGACCACGGATGGTTTGGACGGAAGGCTGGATGATGAAACGGAGGTCTCGACGTTTGCTGCGACGAGTGAGCTCAAGGAGGAGGGGTTATCGGCCGATTCGAACGAAAGTATCTGACCACGACGCCAGTCAATCAACGGATTGTAACGGCGGAGCCAGTTGTGTCCTAGAACCAGGGGATACGGAGCATCCAGCTTGGTGATGAAGCACTTGAGATAGAACTCATCACCGGACGGAAAGCGGAGGATGATGTCCGCGGCGGACGTGAGCCATGTACGAACTGATCCATCGAGGAGTTTGAGTGGTACCGGCGGAATTTCATAAAATTGCAGAGTAGGATGTGAATGTACAAAATCAGAGTCGAGAAAACAGTCCGTACAACCCGAATCCACCAGGGAGTTGAGGTCGATAGGCGAAGAAGTCGTCGAAGAGAGAATAGAGACCGAGAACGAGAGAGCATGAGGGTCGGAAAGAGCTGCAGCGTTAAGTCGGACCTCATGCACTCCTGCTGTGAGGCTGCAGTCGACTGGAGGAGGCGAGGTCAGAGGACTGCTCAAGCTTTCCCGCAGACGAGTCAGTGGCAGGCTGACCGGCGGAAGCAAAGCGAGCACGATGACGGGTTGTGGGGCAGTCAAACGCCTTATGCTCTGCGCTGCCGCACACCATACAAAGGTTCTTTTTGATACGGCGGGCACGCTCCTCCGGCTTGAGCTTCCCGTTAGCATCAAGCTTGTCGGCGTAGGGACGAGGAGGGGCAGAGGACGACGAGGGTGTCGACGAAGAAGGCGTAGACGAGGTAGACGAGGTCTTGTTCGACTTTCCTTTGGCAGAGGAAGAGGTCGACGAAGACGAGGAGTTCCCGGCGGACTGAGACGAAGACTTGGTAGACGATGAGTTGTTGGAGGAAGTCGACGCCGGGGTGGCTAGAGAGCCAGACGAGAGAGAAGGAGTGGACGATGAACCCTTGCCAGAGAGCTTGGCTTGGAGTGCCTTGAGGAGAGCCTGGTCACGACGAATCTCCTCCTGGCGTTCGTGCCAACGTTCGTCCATGTCGAAGACGACGTTCTGTAACTCCAAGAGCGAAGAGGGGCGAGCACGCTTGGCCAGCTCGTTCTTGATACGATCTGAGAGGCCGGCGTAGTACTGGGAACGTAAGGGAGCTTCGTTCCAGGTGATGCGTGCTGCGAGCTCGTTGAAGTCGAGAGTGTACTGGTAGGCACGACCAGTCATTGTTAACGCGCGAATTTTACGTTCAGCGTCACCGACGGGGTTCTTGGGTCCGAAAACGAGAGTGAGCTCCTCGATGAAGAGGTCCAGATCATCAAACCAAGGTAACGTCGCGTCCGTAGTACGAGCAACGTTGATACGAGACGCGAAGTACGTGTACGCCTTGCCCTTGAGGTACGAGAGGGCAGTGGCCATGGCGTCCTTTGGGTGCTTGAAGGTATGCTTGTAGCGCCCAAGGTAGACCGTGAGCTGAGCGATGAAGGCGTCAAGTAGTTCGGGATCGGAACCGTCGAAAGGATCGGGAGCGCGAAGTCGAGGGGCACTGGCGGATTGGGATTCGAGTTTTTCGAGGGCTTTGGCAAGAGTGCGAGAACTGTCACGCTGGCCATCAATGAGGTGCTCGAGGATGTGTCGAAGGACTCCATTGAAGTCGTCTTCGGGTTCCTCTTGCCCTTGGTTGCCTGAATCACCACCCGGCGGGCCTCCAGGAGGGCCACCAGATCCACCACCACCACCATGAGGGGGAGGGTCGCCACCACCATTGCCAGACGGCGGGGGACCACCAGAGCCACCACCTGAAGGGCCACCACCACCACCTCCACCACCCAGAGGGTCCGGCGGATCGCCAGGAGGTGTGCGTGGGGAGCCAAAAGGTAGGGGGTCGTCACCTCCTTTGCCAGAGGAGGGTAGACCGTCACGAAGAGGGTTGGGAGCTCGACCTGAGGGCCCGCCGGGGTTGCCAAACCCGGAGGTTGAGGTGCGAACTCCACCGAATGCACTAGTGGTCAGACCACCAGGGAAGCCGAGGTGAGAGGCCACGAACTCTTCTTCACGACCGTCGTTGGACATATCGCGTCGAATGGTAGGTTGGCCGAGGAACGAGGTTGGAGGTTGCCAAATCGCAGTAGCTGCTACGGCGGGAGATGTCGCGTTCGAAACGTAGAAGGGGTCGATGAGGGACTCGTGACGAGAGTGAGAGAGTGGTCTCACGTTATAAGAACGTGTACCCTTCGTCACGGCTCCAAAGGCTGGCTAGGCCGAAGGACCAGACGGAAACACCTTCCGGCGGAGAGACGAGAGTGAAGGACGACTGGAGCTAAGGCTCGACGGTCGAAAACGATGAGGGAGAGAGTTTTACTGAGGAACTTAGACTGAGAGATTCGAAGCGTATGAACCTAGTCGAGATTCCGGATGAGGTACCTACTACAAATTGAGATAGTACTTATAGTAATTACCGGCGGGGAATCTACGGGCGAAATCGAGACGAAATGACGAAGTCCAAGAGAGAAAGAATAAGTCGAGAACCAGAACAAGAGAGACGAAATCGTACACAAGAAAATCTAGAGTACTCGAGAACGACTACTACGACCCAATCGTAAACCGGCGGATAAAATCCCCATCAAGAACGTTCGTACGAAAAGGTCATCTGAGCAAACTGGCAAATCCAGTGTAAAGAAATAGAAGCAAGGAAAATAACGACACGGTGGAATAAGAAATAGAAGAATAACAGAACAAGAACATACTTCGAATACACAATACGAAACCCGTTTGACAGCTTGCCAAGCGCGCGTCTAAAGTCCACAGGATTATCCGGCGGATCCGAGAGTTCCGGCACAGCCGCGAGGCCGCGCGCGCCAGTCGTGACCTTTCCCACGCTCCGCGAACGTCGCGCGTCAAAGTCGAGAGAGGAACCGGCGGGCTGGAATGAAGTGGGTATAACAAATAAAATGTATAAGAGAAAATACAAATAATAATATCGAATGGTGTTGAGGGTGAAGGAAGGGTGTAGTTGTACGTATCGAGACCCGGCGGTTGCACGAGCCCTGACACGGACTGTCACTGTCTCAAACAGATTTTTGGCGACCCACAGGCAAATACCCAGTACAGGCACCCCTCGCGCACTTCTGCCGGGTTCTAATACCTTCACTCGCACTTTCCCCAACTTGACACCATTATCCGCGGTTCAACTTTCGACTCCAGCCATATTTGAACTCCCAACTTACTCTCTCCTCGTCTTCAACTATTGAGCCTCTGCTCCAGTCGTCCCTTGTGCTTGTTGTAAGGCATTCCTCGTCCGATCCTATGGCCCAGGCAGCTTACAGTACACAATAAAGGTACACATTTTTATAACACAAGACCAATCCTATAGCACTGATACTTAGCTTTATGACACGCCCAACACAGAAACCCAGTTGGGTATTACTTCAGAATGGCAGTGGTTCGAGGTGTGAAAGTTAAGCCTACTATGACACTAATTATGACCTTTAATGCGAGCCCAAAACCAAGGGAGACACACTATTAATGTCCAAGATATGAATGATGCTCTCTCCTCCCCCAGCCCAGACACCTGGTCGGGTACTTCTTCAGAACAGCAGCAGTTTGAGGTGCAAAGGTTGGCCGTCTTATAGCACCAATTATTAGCTTGAATACACACTCAAGGCCAAGGGAAACACACAATTAATATATGAGATATAGTCTATAGATGGTCCTCCTCCTTCCCAAATCCCCAGCCTCATGTACCCGGCTGCAATCTCCTCCACAATGGCGGTGAATCTTAGCATCTCATAACACCAATTATTAGCTTCAAAATGAGCCCAAAATCAAAGAAAACACACCAAAGATGAAGGAGATATCAGTAGTTGTCTTCTTTCTACCTCAACTCCAGGTACCGGTAGAGCATTAGCTTGGCATTGGTTTGGCTGATGCAATAAGCGGAACTGATTGAGTCCCAGTTCTGCTTATTGCGTCATTGCGGTGTTTCAGACTCCGACGCAACTGCAGCAACGTGTTTTTGCAGCTACAAGGTTTTATAAAACCCCTTTTTTATTTTTATTTATATTTTTTTCTGTTAATGTTACTTAGAGTATTCTATATGACAGGAGAGAGGGAGTTTTACATGAATATACCAAAAGATATCCAGGAAGTAAGTGAAAGTGAAAGTGGAGACTGAATAAATCTACAATATACCATATAAGGTAATAGTTCCCAGTTGACTGATGAAAGGGAACAAAATGCTCGCGTGCGCTCGCGTTAAATTACACTCAGCTTATTTAAGCCGAGTAACAGACTTTGGCATTACTGCGATGTTCAGGAGTTTAGAAACATCGAAACACTTACCCGCTTCTCGAGATTGAAAGCTCGAAGACAATCAACCAACGGGCGTGCAAGGTGCACACCAGTATGCGACTTAACAATCCTTCAAGACGTCAGTCAGCTAGTGAACAAAGAGCCCCATGGATCTGACGTACTTGACAAAGTCTGGCGTCAACATTTCAAGAACACCGTCAATGACATAGTGGACAGTGACACCGAGAAATGTGTAGACGTTCGGCAAGGTCCAACCATCTACCCCACATGAATCGTGCCTTTGACATTGTTCTGAAAACCCATGAGTGTTCTGTCCACGACTACGAACATTTGGATCACATGGACCGCAGCTTCACCTCGGAGTTGAAGTCTTGCACAATGTCGACGAGTTCTGGATCCTCTATCATCGCAAAAGGGCAGTTGCGACGAGCCATCCAGATGGCGGTCTTCACTCGAGTCTTGGCCAGATGGTATGTAGAGCCTTGCGCGAACAAGGTCATGGCTCCAGTCTGAGCATCGATGCATGGCAAGCAGTTGTTTGCGTGCTTGGATACATTACTGGTGCTGTCGTCATAGCAATTACGGCCCACCTTGACCGATGGGTTCCTAAACGAAAGGTCAATACAAGATTACACAGGATGAATGGAAAAGCTTATACTTTTTACATGTGAACACATATCGGACAGAATCCCCACTGGCAACAATGTCTGGCAGGCTCTTGAAGTGATTGTAGACCCCCAACACGGCAGCTATCGGATAGTGAGTAGAGATCCGTGAATACATTGTAACAAACACTCACCCAGGACTTGTTACAAATTCCCTTATCTCCTCCGCTCCGTTTCCTTTGTTTCCTTCCACACATTTCACCTTCTTGCCTTTCCGGACTCTCCGGACTTCCGTACTTTCCGTAGCTCTGATATCCTCGTTTATCCGACCTCTCCGCACCTCCGAACCTTCCGTACCTCCGCTTCCCTCGAATTCCGTACTTACCGAAGCTCCTTACTTATCGCTCTTACACTCTTCGCTCTAAACACCATTTCCTCTTGAGTTCCTTGATAACTTACAAGTCTACTATAAATACAGCCACTCTGTAGTAGATACTCCTCAGCCTGTTATCAAGAACCTTTCCTCTAGAACTTCTATCGCTCTCAGCTCGACCCTTTCTGTCTGCAATAGCGACAAGCCTCTTGAACTCGACTCCAGAACCAGAACTCCAGAACGACTGTTGGCAACGACAAGTCCTCGTTGCCCGAAGTCGTAACAGGACTGCCTTATTAGATTTGTTGGCCACGTTGTAACACTTATCGGTCACCTCAGTCACCCAGGTTGACCAGTCTCTTAGATGGATGTCTGTGCCATTTCCTAATGTGGAAGAAGATGGGTGACATCATACTAATTTAGATAAGATAGACTTTTGATGATGGAAGTCAATCAGTGATATCAGTGATTGATGTCATGCAGATCAGGTACAAGGTCATGACATCATGCAGATCAGGGTCAGGAACATGACATAAACCAGATCAGCACGGTCATGACCAGGTCACAGAAATATTTCCCAAGGCCTTGACCGCATATTTTGGTCATGACCATTTCCGATGACCACAGTCACAGCGGGAAATTTCCCTGGTTGCTCTTCTAGCATTTCTTCTAGAAAAACTGCAGTGTGCACAGATTGATAAGCTTCCACTATATGATGATACGACAAGCAACTTACAACTGTATTATGTTGCTGCTTATGCCAAATAACAATAAATTCAATTATATTTCAGTGCTGAGAATATGACCATCAGGACCCCAGACACCCCTGGGCAGGTCATGACCAGGGGCAGGGAAATGACCCTAGGAAATGACCAGAGGACGTGGTCAGACAGCTGGAAGCTAGAGCACCCAACAGGCAGGAAATTGGTGGGAAATGACCAGGACAGCCCTATCTCAAAGACCTGTGGAAATGGCACAGACGCCCATCTAAGAGACTGGGCGTCCTGTCTGACTGAGGTGCCCAGTGTCTACATTTGGGAATTAGATGGCATCCGAGTCACCCTGCCCGTCTTCGTCGACGACATCACAATCATCTCGAAAGACCAGAAGAAGATACAATGGGTCAAGGACTCCTTGGCAAAGGTGTTCAAACTCAAAGACCTTGGACCAACATCCTACCTTCTGGGAATTAAGGTTGATTACGATCGAGAGAAGCGGACACTGCAACTATCACAGAAGCAGTACATCCAGGACATGCTCGTCCGTTTCCGCCTCGATGCGGCTAACACAGTCAAAGCGCTGATGAACCCAAGTATCCGCCTAAGCAAAGACCAGTTTCCCAAGACCAAAGAGGAACGAGAAGAGATGTGAAACCTTCCTTACATGAACGCTGTGGGAGCACTCATGTATCTTGCAATCGGCACTCGACCTAACATCGCTTTCGCTGTGGCAAAACTGGCACAATTCAATTCAAACCCCGGAATGACACATTGGACAGCCGTCAAACACGTCTTCCGCTACCTCAAGGGCACCATAGATCTCAAACTCACTTATCACATGGACAACAACCCCCAACTCGCCTCTGAACTCTTCCACACATTCAGTGATGCCGATTATGCAGGATGCCTCAACACACAGACAATCAACAAGTGTTAGAACTCTACGGAACTGCAGAGTCTGGCGGAGTCGAAGGGACTTTGGCCTCAATGTATTGTTGTGCCCACGCTGGTGGTATATGGTCCAACCCGAAAGGAGAGGGGAGGGAGAAACGCGCCTTGCGGCGGAAGACAAGGAGAGAGAGAAGAGAGCCTTGCGGAGCGGAATCAGTAGCACTATGCGGATATGCGGAGTATGCGGAAAGCTCTAGCAAGCCTAAGAGGGCTCAAGACTGGACAGAGGGGAAGTTCTGTATAAGTCTGATTCGAGATTCCGGATGAGTATCTACTACAGAAATCTAGCTAGCTTATATATCTGTAGATACTCTGGATATACTCTGGGACAAGTCTGGGACAAGAGATAAAACTGAGTCATAAGAAATGCGGAATACTGCGGAATACGAAAGGGATGAGTATTGACGTCCTCCTTCTCCTCGGTCTTTCCTTCGTCCTTGGTGGTAGATTCATCTTTGACTCTCCGCGCGGTCCGCACCGGCCCTCAGTTGCGGGCCGTGTCGGTCCGCTGGTACTTTGCGGGCTGCGGACTTGCGGATGCGGACATCCATAGAGCGGACACATGCGGGGAGTCCGCATGTGCAGGAGTGGGATGGATGTGGCGGAGATGTGGGAGATGCGGGATGCGGAGAGATGATGGCGAGTGCGGGGATGTGCGGGGTCATGCGGGATCATGTGAGACTGTGCGGGGAGTGTGGGTCAAGGCTGGTGGGTTGTGGGTAGATGTGGGTGGATGTTCGAGACCCTAACAGTACCTCTCTGTTAAGGCCAAGCCCTCGAGGCTTGTATTAGGACTCGGTCCATTCACAGACTCTGATGTCCGCATTTTGCAACTCGGCATCATCAGCATGGTCGTGACTCTGCGGTGCATTTGCGGAGAAGTGAAAAAATAATTTCTTGTCCTCATGAAGTGGAAATAGAAAGTGCGGACAGGAAATGAAAGTGAGGAAAGAGAAGCGGAGGCAAGGGAGAAATTGAAGCATAACGTGCGGAGTAAGGGAAGGCATAGTGAAGCAGAGGAAAATGAAGACAAGTGGAATAAGTGGAGTAAGCGAGAACATCAAGAAGAGAGGAATACAGAACAGGAAAAAGGTCAAACAGGTAATGCATAGAGGTAGCGGAGGAAGCATAGAGAGGAAAGGAGTAATGCGGAACCACGAATTGAAGAGAAAGAAGTGGAAGAAACAGGATGCAGAAAATTGCGGAGAGCGGAGAAAGACAAAATCGGAACTTAGGAAATAAAAGGATACAAAGGAGAAGAAAAAATGCGGAGTCAACTGCGGAATACAGGGAATCACCAATGGGGACCAGGCTTGTCTGGGTACCTCTTGTGGAACTCTCCAACAATCTCTTGAGCGTGTTCAAGCTCTGTGGCAGGGAGCCAGCTGCGTTCCTCGTCTCTATTCTCGATATCCACGCCACCGCACTTCATAGAGGAGCTTTGCAATGTTTGTGGCGACAATCCAGTTTGGAGTTGAGGATCTCCGAAATCTCATATTCAAGTTCCCCATCCACCTCGATTGGAGGCGGAGGTGGTTTGTGGCGTTGCGGAATCTGAGAGGTGTAATGCGGTTCGAGCATAGAGACGTGGAAGACAGGGTGAACAGCGCAGAGAGAGTCGGGGAGGCGGAGAGTGTAGGAAACAACTTGGGCAATGATCTCGTAAGGGCCAAAGTATCGTTCCGAAAGCTTCTTGGTAGGTCTGGTTGTGCGGAAGAACTGGGCTTTAACGAAAACTCGGTCACCCACCTTGAAGTCTGGCGGAGGTAAGCGCTTCTGGTCCGCATAGCGGCATGCGGACTCCTGCGCGCGAAGAATGGCGAAACACCAGTTGTGGCACTAGGCGCATTGTTGTACGCAAACTCCGCAAGTGGGAGGAGTTCATGCCAGTTGTCCTGCTGGTAGTTACAGTAGGTCCGCAAATACTGCTCAAGCGTCTGATTGACCCGCTCTGTCTGTCCGTCTCCTTCTGGGTGGTAGCCGGATGTGAAGTGGAGCTTCATGTCCAGGGCTTCCCCCAAACTGCGGAAGAAGTGGGAGACGAATTCGGAGCCGCGGTCGGAGGTTACATGGCCAGGAACACCATGTTTGGAGAAGACGTGGAGCACAAACAGTCGCGCAAGCTCTGCGGAGGTGAGGCGGGAGTCTGTCGGAACAAAAATGGCTTGTTTCGACAGTCTATCCACCACCACCAAGATATCCGTGTATCCGCCGGATGCGGGGAGCTGTTCAATGAGATCCATCGAAATGGAGTCCCAGGGGCGGAGCGGAATAGGCAGGGGCTTCAGCAAACCATAAGGCTTGTGACGCGGAGACTTGTTGCGCTTGCAGACTGTGCAGGAGCGGACATAGTCCGCAACAAAAGTGCGGAGTTCCGACCAGACGTAGTCGCGGCGCACCAGCTCAATCATCTTGTTCTTGCCATAGTGTCCCGCAAGCGGATGGTCGTGTTTGAGCTGAAGTACGCGGAGGCGGAGTGCGGAGTCGTCCGGAATGTAGATGTGTCCGTCCTGGCGGAGTATACCATCTGCGGAGAGAGTCCAGCAAGGGTTGGAAGGTGTGGGGAGGTGTTTGGAAGCGATTTCGTCTGTGGAGTAAGCAGCCTTGATGTCCTTGAGGAGCGCTCCCTCATCAACTACGACCGATGCGCGGAGTGCGGGGAGCATGATTGAAGTTGCACGGAGAGATGCGGACAGCTGCTCATTGGTGAAGGTGGGTCTGAAGTTGTGGGGATTGAATGACGCATAGTCACTACCTCCCTGTTTAAGGTAGATGTCCTAATGTCTAGTGAGGGCATCGGGCTTCGTCCCCAGCTTCCCAGGGCGAAAGCGGATGACAAGGTTGAACTGGGAGAGATACTCCGACCAGCGTGCTTGCCTGCGGGTGAGGACCTTGGAAGTGGCGAAATATTCCAAGTTCTTGTGGTCCATCATCACATTCACAGGCTCCGCAGATCCCTCGAGGTAATGCCTCCAGATCTTGAAGGCCTCAAAGATAGCCAGGAGCTCCTTGTCATGGACATCGTAGTTGAGCTCCGCAGCTTGGAAAGTGTGGGAATGGAATGCGACAGGATGGATTTCGCCAGAGTCGAGTTGTTGGGACAGAATAGCGGCAAGGGCGTAGTCAGAGGCGTCAGTTTCCACAATCAGGGGTCGGGTTGCCAGTGCACCAGGATGGGTGCGGAAGTGAATGCGGACTTGAGGGTTTCAAATGCGGAACGTGCGGAGTTGCCGAACAAGAAAGGGGTGTCTTTGCGGGTGAGATGTTGAACTTATCTTATCTTATTGTAGATTAGATTAGATTAGTACGACTGAGTCCAGACTCTTCTGGAATGTTCCACTGTAGAATGTTCTGGAACATCACATGATGCATTACTCATCATTGCATCATTATGAGTCATACATAGTCATGGCTTACTCATTTGATTACTCATTCGTATAGCCTCACACAGCCTCTGTCACACTTACTATATTTAGGTAGTTTATGTCACATTCATCACATACCCTGTACAGTATAAATACTGACCTCTGTGGTCTAATTCGTATAGCCTCACACCAGCCTCCGTCACACATACTATATTTAGGTAGTTTATGTCACATTCGTCACACACTCTGTACAGTATAAATACTGACCTCTGTGGTCTCTAATCGATAACTGTCTTAGCACCAGTTTTACTAGCCACTAAGTTAGCCTCACTACACTCTACCTCCTGGTAAGTTCTAGAGTACACACCTGTAGTATAT